CGCCGTTCTGGCCGCCGGTGGTTCTCGGCGTTAGCTTCGTCTTCGCCTATGAGCCGTAGATACCACGCCCTGGATCTCTCCCGTTAGCATATCAATTAATCAACTCGTTGCTCCTCATGTCTCGGGGCGTCTTAATTTAGAAACAGATGGAAGGTCATAGATGAAATGATACATGGTACATAGTACATAGTAGGACGTTCTGCAGGCGGCGAAATGACGACGCCTCGGTGGCGGGGTCGCTGAGGGGTATGGCCTATCAAGGGGACGGGCCACCTACCATTCTTTAAACGTGTACTCGCGTGGTGGCGAATGTCGGAGGTGCTTAGTAACGCGCGAAATTTCGTCGATCAGGACGAGGTGGTATTCGGCGCGGGATTTAGGAAGCTCGGTCGGTAGGCTCTCTCTTTCTGTCGAAGGAGATCGACTCAGAGACATGGATCTTGATCGCGATTCCTTTCCGGAAGGCGATGGTTTGGATGTGGATTCTTCATTCGTGAAACGTATCGTTGAGACGTTTGGTGGTGCTGGAGCTGCCTCTCCTTTTTCGGCATCCTTTTCGGTTGTGCGATTACTTTCCACGTTATTGACTTCGGTCGTATCGGAGGAACGCCCTCTTTCATCGTCCGCGTCCGCGTCCGCGTCATCGTCTCCATCATCTTCCTCATCACCAACGCCGTCATCTTCGTCTTCATCAGGGTGCTCGTTAGCAGCTCCGAGAAAACCAGGAGCAGTCTCTTCAATATCGGTATCCACGAATAGAACCCCACACGATAATCTCTGTAACACCTGTTTCATCTCCTTTCTCAAACCATGTTCCCCAGGCAGAATTGTGATGTTTCCGAGGATGAGTGTCCCATCTTTGACGCCTTTTACAATAGTGTCGCCTGCATTCGATATAAGAACGGTCATCGTAGGTAAGGCGAGGAGAGACCAGAAGACGAAGAAGCTCTTGGCTGAATTTGACACTGGGGTGAGATCACCGTATCCAATAGTCGTCAAAGCCGTGAATGCGAAGTAGAACCCATCAAAGTAAGACCATCCTTGATAAGGGGCCTCGCATACCTGGAAGATTTTGGCGCCCACAAGCCAGAGCAAAATCCATGTACTTGAGGATACTGCCATTGCAGTCCATCGCTCTCGTTTTGAAGCCCTGTGACATATTAGTCTTAACTGTTCGACAGTAACTTGATATAACCTCGGCCTTCGCCGTAGAAACGGGTTGAATTAATCGATAATGGGTCAGTACTCACTACCTAGAATTAGCATATGACCAGATATATTCATAACTCTTCGTACATACCGTTCGTTGAATTTTCCGCATTAATTGAAATTCCTTCTGCCGACGTTCGAATTCGGACAACTGAGCCCTCGAAGGTGCACCCGAACCTTCACCATCCACCGGATCAAAGATACTCGAGTTACCCTTCTTCAACATGCGTCGGATCAAGAGACGTCGCTGCCGCTCTAACATCCGTGCATCAAGCCTGTGTTTACCGCGGTCGAGGATCATACTTCGAATGGACCCAATCACGAGACCGAGGCTGATCACACCGATCAATGCATAGGGAACGAGGAGACCACGTCCAAGTCTTGTCTGCGGAGATATTTCGCCGAAACCCACTGTGAAAAGTGTGACATCCGCCCAGTATACGGAGTCGAGATAATTCCAACCCTCGATCTCAGAGAAGATCAATGCACCCACCAGAAGGTACATTAAAAAGAGGATAGTCTGAAGCATGAGGGTTCTCTGGCTTGTTGTCAAGTCGAAATCCTTGCTGTAGTGGCCAGCCTCCGCTCCCCAGACAGTGACAACCATGAGAGAAGCTACTATGAAATAGATAATAGCCGCGTACATGCCATAGTAGAAGGCTTGAGACCAAACATATTCGATTTCGGGTTGGATTTCCAACGGACCGGTTGCGGTAGCACACAGAGCTACTAAGCAGAGAGCTGAGATATACCATCCGACTATGGTTATAGGCTGGGCGATAGAAAATCGGATTCTCTTGGTCATGTTAAGCAAGAGGAATGCGTTGGAAACCAGGGCAATAACCAGCTGGACGGCGTTCACGGCTAACAGCCATGGCGGGTCGCCGACATAAACGGCCTTGGTGACGTCGGATCCCGGCGGAATATGCTGCCTCCAATTCCTCACAAGCGCGCATATACTGAAAGCTGAAGCCACCGGACCGAGCGTACCGGCGATCATGGGGATCGCGGCCGAAGCGAACCACCAACGACTATTTATATCAACTTGGTCAATATGTCTTTTTTCTTCGGAAGATGTCGGGTGCGAGGTGCATTATTTACCTTGGATCAAGATAAACCTGATCGTTCATGACGCCATTTTGGGCGACCTTACCATCCTTATATTCATCGACGACCTGTGCCTGCTCGTCGATATTATGGCCGAGGTCTGCATCATCCATCCCTATACCTAATTATCTACATCCCAAAAAGAATTGTAAAATCGCGGCGAGGTCGGCAAAGACTTTCGAATTGATCCATACCCTTGTTCTTCTCCCTCGGTAATTACTAATTAGTCTAGGAGGCGTCAACCTCAGAAAATCGTCTTTTGATGTTATACAAGGAAGGCTGGGAGTTCTTAGAACCAAACGCCATGGTTTAGACATGTATAGTTGTATAAATCTATAAAATATGCAAAGGAAGATGAAGGGTAGAAAGATACAAAGGAGGGTCAGGCGATAGTTTATTTGACGTGACATGACGTCGCTTGACATTCGATCGCGGAGCTAAAGAGCACCGTTGTGTCCGACCTACCGGGATAGGGGAGCAACGTCCCGCTGGCATGTGATATGATTGGCTGTCAGGAGCTTCCTACACGGCTAGAACCTTGAGAACCTTGACTAAACCACTAAAGACGCTAAAGAATTCCGGAACTGACGTCTTGTGGATTTCATCAACATTTTCATGAATCAATCCTTAACAACCAACACCTCATTTTTCATCGCTCGACGTGTTGTCAACTCCAATGCGATCGCAGGCGGTCACATGCTCAGCGAAAATAACCTTACTTATATTGAATTGATTTCTCATGCATAGGAGGTCGTGGGTTGAAGATGAAAAGATGGACCCTGGCTAGAGGTTCAATATGTTCAATATTATTAGGCCTTCGTGGCTGGAAATTGAGCTGGCCGAGACGCTTTAGCGTTGCCGTCAATGATGTAGAACGAGTGAGGTTTCGCAACGGCATTTCTGGACTTGTCACAATCGAGTAAGTAGTATGGTCTTCTCACCCCATGCAAGTAAAATCTCATTCCTAAACCGATTGAGTGGTCAGTCTACATAACGTTGCCAGGGCGTCGTCACCAGACCCCTTGTTAATATACCTTCCACCATATTCGACAGCTTTTTCGGACGGGCCTGTAGCATTGCCAACGTTCGCCCAGAGACGGCCGACCGCGGTGATAAATTACCGCTGGGCTGGCTATTATCCATTCGGGAATATAGCTTCACGGTTTACTCGGTCTGGCAGGCAGTTCAAAAAGGTCCTCTCCTGGCCAACCCCTCTACACGACATACTAAAGGGATATGATTGGATCAAAGAGAATCTCGGGCCAGATGAAACTCGTGCGCGTTGGGATATATACGTCTACGGCTCTTATCTCGGCGCATCACTGGCAACGTCACTTGCCCTCACAGAAACTCACTTCCGCACAATTCAGCAGATAGGTATCCGAGGATGTGTCGCTTACAACGGAATATACAATTGGACTACCTTCCTCCCAGACCACAAAATCAACCAAGCTTCACTGCATCCCCCGGAGAATACAATAGAAGAGGTCTCCGAAGTATCCTCAGAAGAACCCCAGTTCCAGGAGTTAAAGCAGCACATGAAAGCGCTGTTTGTGAAACCCGATAACCTCTTCGATCCCTTTGCGAGTTCATCCTTATTTTTCCACCCACCCGGACTTTACGTGCCGCCGAATTTTAACTCAACGGCTCTCTCACCAGAGAATCCGGAAGATCTTGAAAGAGATCCTTTGGAAGAACCTGTAGGAGATCCTACCTTATTGCCAGTTGATCAACCTCGATTCATATCGGAGGACCCCGACCTATGGCCAGAGGACGAGGACGAGGACGAGGACAAACCAGAATCATCTTTAGGGAAAAAAACCGAACAGATGCTTACGAAACCACCAAATGCGGGGTACTATAAGTATCCGCCAAGATGGTCGACGTTGGAGATCCCTGAAGCGTTATTATTGTATTCCTCGCAGTCCCCGTTGCCGGCCTCGCTCCCGCAGGGTCTCGAGAGGCCCCCGAAACTCGAGGAAAATAACTTCAAATCGCACGCCTCAGACCTGGCCAAATTGATGCGTCGTAGTATCAATAAGATCGAGATGGTAGAACGTGCTAAGCGGGGTGAAAGCGTCGATATCTCGGAAGCTGCTAGGAGGGTCCAACTCGAGGATGTGGGGTTAAATCCGGGTGGTTTCGAACTTGGTAGAGAAGGTGAGGAATTGGTTGGTGCTTGGTTAGAAGATCAGATGGACAATTCATACCCCAAATAAAAAATGCTCTTGTTATGGATTGTTCGATGAAGTTGGGAGACTTATTAAGTAAGGCTCTGATTGTAGTTTTCTCTGCGACCACCTAAACTTAGACCCAAGGAAAAAAGTAAACTTGTCGTCTGGATAAAATACGACCCAACGATCGCGTAACCTCACCTGAGCTTATCACAACCTCGGCAAGATATCACTTCTCTACTACTGAAATTTAAACTCGAAGAAACCAACATTCCTGACTATTTCAAAACTGCCTCTTTATTATCATCACGAACGGCCTAATCCTTCTACACAGTCCCGATCTACACAGTACATTCCGATTACTCACCAGTCACAACACGGGCCAAGCCCCACTCCACCAACTCCACCACTCCCTTTTTACTTCGCAAGTCCCGGGTCTAACCCATTCCATCCACGATCGGCAGCACAGTACCTATATATGTTCCCTTAAGTTGACGTTTCATCACAACAGGCTTGATGGTCTAGTGGTAGGATTCTCGCTTTGGGATCATGGATCAACATGGTACAAGCTTGCGAGAGGTCCCGGGTTCAATCCCCGGTCAAGCCCTTCTTTTTTCGTTGTTTTCCCACCCCGTATGCCCGTATGGTGGGAAGACGATTTTTTTTCATTTTCATAAAAGATTATCGTTACATTTTATGAAAATTAGTGTTTACGTGAAAGCCGTTGGGGCTTATTTATGCTTAGCTGCCTAACACTCCATTCTTTTGTAAAGCTGAATAAGAAAGGCGAATCTCGATATTCGGAGCAAACATCCCTAATACTCGGTTTGAACGGTTCAATTAAGCATCATGAGCCAGTCAACTCTAGGGCTATTACTCTTGAATTCCAAAACCTAACATAGAAAACCCAATGAACCTTAGAAATGCTGTCATGGTCCCAATTAATGAACTTATAATACAAGGTATCATCATCTCCTATGGTACAAGCAAACCCCCTCGTATACCAGTTCCTCCGTGTATCAATCAATCATATACCTATGCCTAGATGCCTTTCTATACCGCCCATCCGATTCCTTTCTATGCAACTACGTATGCAATGCGATAGTTACCTTCCCGAGTTACCTAGTAGATGGAAAGAAACCTTTACGATGGATCTTCGATACAAAACCCTCTAGGTATGCACGCCTTATCTCCAACTCCACCAATTCTTCTTTTTCTTCTCGTTATACCCTTCCTCCTGAACATTGTGTCTCCCGACGATCGTCAAGAACACCTGGTCCAATGTCGTCGGCGTGCACGAGTAATGCTCTATCCCGAGTTCCTCCTTGTGTTCCTCGAGTATGACAATAAGCTGACCAACCGCGCTTCCGCCGGTACCCTTCCTCACATCGCTACTCTCCACATGGTCCCCATCACCGTTCGCAGGCTGTACATCGCTCTCGCCCATGCTCATGCTCTTCCTCCTCCCCTCACCCTCTTCTTTACCAACGCTCCCACCGACCACGGCAGCAGCAGGCACCGAAAACCGCATCTGTCCATGATACGTCTTCCTCTCGACCTCAGCATCAGGCCACCTCCGCAGCACCCACTTCCTAATCCTCTCCATCTCCTCCTCTCCCGAATGCGGCGCCGTCTTACTAACAAGATGCACATGCAGCGTATCCCCGAACCTCCGCCTCAACCCCTCCGTACTCCCCATGGCCAACATCCTCTTCGCGATGATGCCCGCGCGGTTCGCCAGCGCGTCCGCCTCCTCCATGCTGTGCGTGGTGAGCAGGATGGAGCGTCCGGGGACGACGGAGTGCAGCGTGCGCCACATGATGCGTTTCGCGGCGGCGTCCAGGCCGGACGAGGGCTCGTCGAGGAGGACCACGCTGGGGTTTCCCATGAGCGCGATGCCGAGGCTGAGTTTGCGCTTGTTACCGCCTGACAGCGCGTGCGCCATGCGCGTGGCGAAGGCCTCGAGGCCCACCGCCCGCAGCACCGCCCGCACGTTGTGCTCGATATCCGGGATGCCGCGGATGCGAGCGTAGAAGCGCAGGTGCTCCAGCACCGTCATCGAGTCGATCGCGTCGAACTGCGGACACACGCCTAGGTGTGCGCGGGCCTCGGCGCGTCTTCGGCTGACGGATGTGTTCTCGACGAGGACGTCGCCCCCGTTTCGGCTGGGTTGGATGTCGCCTCGGATGAGCGAAATAGTCGTAGACTTGCCGGCACCGTTGGGTCCTAACAGCGCGAAGACCTCGCTGTGCTGAACACCGAACGTGACGTTGTCGACGGCTGTATTTTTACCGAATGACTTCGTCAGGTGTAACACCTTAAGACCGTCGTTTTCCGGTGCCGTGCTAGTCACGCGGATAAGTTCGTTCGCGACCTCTTCGTCCGAATGATCCGGTTCACTAGATGGGGCTGGCTTTTTATTGAAGCGGCTTAAAAGACTGCTTCCTGATCCACTATCGTGCCATAACAGGAATGCAAAAAGAAGTACTGATTGCAAAATTAGGTAGAGGATCGGTCCTCCATAGGCAGTCAGAGCGCCTGGGTTGGGCTGTATCTGATCCCCATCGCACGTCACGGAGAAGAGGTTAAGAGCGACGAACATGGTTCGAACAACCGAACCGATGGGTATAAACGCAGAAATGACGAAATGCGCGACGATAATGGAACTGTCGATGGATTGAACTGGGGCATAGGTGATAACGCACAAGTATGCGATCAGATAGATCAGAAATCCGACTGCTTGACCAGCTGCTGAGAATGCGTAGGTCGATAGCTGATTGCCGCAGAAAAGAGAGATGACGTATGAAAGCAGGGTCGATGCCAGCCCGTATAATATGAAGATAAGGAAGAGATAGTCGACATGGTACCAAACATCCGATGATGCAGCGAAGGCGGCGACGGCAAGTGCAGACGAAACGAGAACGATTGCAAAATCGAATGCTGTATAAGAGACCCAAAGCGGAAGGGAACGAACTCCGTTTGAATATTGCAGTCCGCGCACGTTCCGACGCCTCTCGATGTTTGGATACAGACCAAAGAAGGCAGGATAGCAAGAAAGAGCCAGACAAAAGTAAATTAGAAGCTGAAGAGAATCGCCGGTCGAAGGTGCCCAAGGGGTATCGAATGGTGCATAGTTCGCGGCAATACTGGTGTTGGTTAACATGATATCCAATGCATTCTGACCGAAAACCGAAGTGTAGACATCCCCAACATCGGCTTCATATGTGATGGTGGGTAGGGAATTGGCGTCTCCAAGCCACCATCCAGCAGGCTTGACATCCTTTCGCCTCTGCTCGATATAAGTGTTAAACTCATCTAAGGAATCGACAAGATGAAGACTCTCGAGGAGCACGGCAACGGCAGCATACCCAGTGTCTGTTGCATTGTCCGATCCGGTGAGACCTTGGATTAAAGTCTGGTTCTGGTCCTGGCTTGGGCTTATGCCCCGCAATGTAGGGGCAAAAAGCCTCTCTATAGTTGCATTATTGAACTGCGAAGATGGACCAGCGACTAAGAATAAGTTGTCGTAGAGATCTGAGGTATCCGAGGTGTCGGCCGAACTTTGGCTGGCTGGGTTGCATCCGACAGGATGTTGGTCCGTAACGTAGAGAGCTGTTAGAGCCGCTGCTATGATCGGGATTAGGAAGGCTGCCACGTAAGGAAACCAATTCGTTTTGAAGATAGTACATCGCTTCCTAAACAGTATTACAATTTGTCTCATATATCCGATAGGCTGCCCGGACAGCAGCTCTAGTCTGTCCTTCTCGAGTTCGCCAGCACCGATATCGTCGGAGTTGGCTTGCTTATCATTGCCCCCTTCGGTAGATGATGATGTCTGTGGAGATTTTGTACCACTTTCACCCTTGACTTCTTCAGCCACTTGTAGGAAAACGTCCTCGATGGTTGGATTAGAGAATTTGTAATCGTGGATACCTGCAGCTTCGAGAGATCGTATCACGTCCGCTGCAAGACTAGACGATGGTGCGATGTAACTGATCACATCGAAGCCAATCTTGCAGGTGACATTCTCAATCTTCGGAGGGTTTTTGATTTCTCTAGCGTTGAAAACATGTACCCGGTAACCGGCACCAAGCCTATCCTTAAGCTCGACAGAAGACCCTTGAGCCCGAAGGGTTCCCTTAGAGAGGATGGCGATATGGTCGGCGAGGAGATCGGCTTCGTCGAGGAAGTGGGTTGTAAGGATGATTGTTCGTCTTCCGCGTTCAGCCAAGAGGATATCCCAAATCTTGCGTCGCGACAACGGGTCGATTCCGGAAGAAACTTCGTCAACGCAGCAGACCGCACTCCCGCCAGTTAACATCATTCCGAGCTGCAGCTTTCGCTTCTGGCCACCCGACAAAGTTTTAGACATAGCCTTGACCTTTGGACCTAGATCTACGGCCTCTATTAAATCGCGTATCTCTTTTGTAGACGCCGTGTTATTCGGGGATTTTAGTCTATTGAAGATTCGAATATGTTCTTCAACCGTCAATTCATCCCACAAAACATTTTTCTGAGGCGCGATACCTAACCCTCCCGTGCCGTCAATCGTGATGTCGCCGCTTGTCAACTTACTAATTCCAGCGATGGAATCGAGCGTAGTACTCTTTCCACTACCGTTAGCACCAAGCAGAGCAAGAATTTGTCCTCTCCTCGCAGTGAGTGTCAATTTATCCACAGCTACAACTGGCTCCCTTGGCGTCGAGCTAAAGGGAAGTAATCGGTACAGAGGGTTAGGATAGTATATCTTAGTAAACTGCTCGAGACGGACGGCATCAGCAGGTGCCGAATCGGTAGTTTGGCCTTGGAGAATCGTGCGACCCTTCGTAGTTGTGCCGTGGAGAACACGTTCTAGGTAGGCGCCGATGACGGAGTAGATAAAAATCTGAAGGACGAGGAATATCCAGAAAACAATACCAGGCAAATTCCAAGGATTTTCTGGTGGTGTGTGGATCAAATCTGCCGGGAACGAGTACCTTTCCCATCTTGCTATGAAAGTCATGAACCAAACAAAGTTACAAGGCGTCTATAAGATCATTAGTCTCTGCATCGCGATGAAAACGGGGAGCACACTATAGGGGAGTTGGAATATCTCGAAAACATAGAGCCTGGTAATAACCGATTCATCTTGGAAACGTAGACCGATGAAATAACGTCGAAGAAAGAGACTAGATGAATCTGGAGAATACATACGAATAACAGACTGAGGGCGGTAACAGTAGCAGTACTAGGCGATGTCAGCGTCTGTGCTAAGATTGCTAACAGGATATACGCGATCACTGTCACAACACCCGATAGTTGCGATCTCTTAAAGAATGCAGCGCCTAGGATGGAAAGCGACGCTAGAGCGAGTCCGCTCAGAATAAAGTAAAGGAGTACGATAGCGAGATTGGTATTCGCCCAGACTCCGCGCGCGATAATGATCGAACCAATTACCCAACCTGGAAGATATACTATGGTAAACGCAATGTGGTAAGAAAGCAGTCTTGCGACTTGAGCTTGCCATCGATACTTGGTAGGCATCATGGCGTCTAATAATTGAGACATGCCAATTTCTCTTTCCGTTGCCATATGACCTGTCATATGGTAACAGACACCGATGACGAC